GCACTCACGGAGGAAACACATTTAGAGGGAGAAAGGCCTTCAGAGTTCTGAACCCTTGCAGAACAGGGCCATGCTCAGCGTTGCTCTTTGAAGGCTGCTGAGAAAAGGCATCTAAGAGCCCGCAGGCAGAGCTGCAGGCACGGCCTTTGCTAACAATACCCGTAGAGGACTCACTGGGCTGAGAGTTAGGAGGCCAAGAGGGACAGACCTTGGTGGTGGTGGGAGATGGTGCTCTGACGGGTTACCCAGACCTGCTGGGGTGCGCTTGCAGAAACCAACTCTGTTTCTTCACTAGAACTGAAAGTCAGATCATGTAATAAAGACTTTGAAAAAAGTCCGCATCCTGGAGGCCTGGGTCCGCCCACCCTGACCCCCACCCCCATTCCTGAGGCCTGGGCCCGCCCACCCTGACCCCCTCATTCTGGAGGCCTGGGTTCCCGCAGACCTGGAGCTCCGGGGGCGGTGGGCGGAACCTGGAAGTTGTGGGCGGGGCGGGGTTGGAGGCGGCCCCGCCCTTCGGGCCATGTTCCCGGGCCCTCCGGACCGAGGCCGCTCCGTGTCCGGGGCTGTGAGCTTCTGGAGCTGAGGAGGCAGGTGAGCCCCTCCCGCGCGCGAGAGAGAGCTGAAGGGGAGCGCCGGCGGGACTCGGGCTCAGCGCGAGGGTCTAGAAGGTGGGGACCCAGAAGCCGCTGCGCTGCCACCTGGAGGCAGAAGGGTGACTGCCTGGTTGAAGGATGGGGAGCTGGGTAAGCAGAGCTTTCAGAGGTCACAGGGCCTCGGAGGGGCTGAAGGGGCTCTCCGGTCTGGCAGGAGGATGAGCCCTGTTGGTCAAGTGTGTTTGAGCCCCAGGGCTGGGCCAGGCAAGAGCCCGAGTGAAGGGTCAGGACCGCCTCTGTCTGCTGCAGTGGCGGGAACAGGTGGGGAGTGGGGACACTCCTGTTCTCAGGCTCCGAGCGGCAGCAGGGAGAATGTGGGCCAGACCAGACGCAGGGTCAGGGCCAGCCTGGCTGGACAGCTTTAAGGAGACGGGAGGCGAGGCTTGGTGGTGGCTGTGGGAGGCTGGAGCGGGCCGGGAGGACGGGGGGTCCTCAGGGCCTGAGGCCAGCCGTGGTGTGAGTGAGGGTCTCGCTACCAAGGAAGGATGGCAACAGGTGGGCTGGGGGCTGATGGCCGTGCCATGCCCGGCGTCAGGTGGGCTGGGAGCACCCCGCCCGCCTGTCTGTTTCTTCACTAGAACTGAAAGTCAGATCATGTAATAAAGACTTTGAAAAAAGTCCGCATCCTGGAGGCCTGGGTCCGCCCACCCTGACCCCCACCCCCATTCCTGAGTCCTGGGCCCGCCCACCCTGACCCCCTCGTTCTGGAGGCCTGGGTTCCCGCAGACCTGGAGCTCCGGGGGCGGTGGGCGGAACCTGGAAGTTGTGGGCGGGGCGGGGTTGGAGGCGGCCCCGCCCTTCGGGCCATGTTCCCGGGCCCTCCGGACCGAGGCCGCTCCGTGTCCGGGGCTGTGAGCTTCTGGAGCTGAGGAGGCAGGTGAGCCCCTCCCGCGCGCGAGAGAGAGCTGAAGGGGAGCGCCGGCGGGACTCGGGCTCAGCGCGAGGGTCTAGAAGGTGGGGACCCAGAAGCCGCTGCGCTGCCACCTGGAGGCAGAAGGGTGACTGCCTGGTTGAAGGATGGGGAGCTGGGTAAGCAGAGCTTTCAGAGGTCACAGGGCCTCGGAGGGGCTGAAGGGGCTCTCCGGTCTGGCAGGAGGATGAGCCCTGTTGGTCAAGTGTGTTTGAGCCCCAGGGCTGGGCCAGGCAAGAGCCCGAGTGAAGGGTCAGGACCGCCTCTGTCTGCTGCAGTGGCGGGAACAGGTGGGGAGTGGGGACACTCCTGTTCTCAGGCTCCGAGCGGCAGCAGGGAGAATGTGGGCCAGACCAGACGCAGGGTCAGGGCCAGCCTGGCTGGACAGCTTTAAGGAGACGGGAGGCGAGGCTTGGTGGTGGCTGTGGGAGGCTGGAGCGGGCCGGGAGGACACGGGGTCCTCAGGGCCTGAGGCCAGCCGTGGTGTGAGTGAGGGTCTCGCTACCAAGGAAGGATGGCAACAGGTGGGCTGGGGGCTGATGGCCGTGCCATGCCCGGCGTCAGGTGGGCTGGGAGCACCCCGCCCGTCTGCCTGACCCTCTCTGACCTCCCCTGCCTCTCCCAGGGCCTCAGTGCTCGCCCAGGCTGCACCCCGTCACCCTGACTGTCCTCTCCCGAACCCCTGTCTTTAGTCCTTTCCTCTCCTGTGTCCCTCAGAACGTGGCTTCCAGTGTCAGGCTCGGTCTCCGCTGGAGGATGTTGATGGAAGACAGGAGGGAAGCTTCAAATCCTGGTTCTGGTGAGAAAACGAACTGCAAAATAAAAGCACAGTGTCTGGGCCCGACGCGCCGTGTCTGCGGTTCCCTGGGCGCCGGGGAGTGGAGGGCAGGTGCCCTGAGCCGGGTCGGACGGAGCAGCCACTGTGGGTGGAAATTCCTCGCTTCACAGCCCAGTTCCTCCCGGATTCCAGCCTCTCTGGCTTCAGTTCAGCTTCTCAAACACTTCTCAGCTATCAGCTGGAAAATGGGGAGACCTGGGCTGGTTCATAACTGAACATCTCCCAGGGATTCCTCAGGAGTATGTGCAAGAATACACGGGGCCTTGTGGGGACCTGGCAGAGCGCCGATAAGGCTCTCACGTGGGGTCTCTCCCCTCCTCCTGTCTGGCCCTGTCCTCCCCCTTCTCAGTGGGAAAGGACTGGACTTCACTGCTCCCAGGAGCCCAGCAGTGTGTGTGTACGTTTGCTTGTGTGTGCGCGTGGCCCCATTAGCCATTGCTGTTCATTCCCCGAGGCGCTCAGCCGCTTGACCTGCTGCCGGGACCACACGTAGTTAGTGCCCTTAACCTTGGACTTCCTATTAGGATGGAAAGCAGCCGTACACGGATGCTCCGTAGACTGTTTTGCGTTCCACCCTGAAAGGACAGTGTCCTGTGCCAGGGGGATGGGAGTCGCGGTTACTGAGGGCCTTTTCTCTCCAGTCTCAGACTCCAGGCCCGGTCTCATGGACGTGCTCTGTGAAGCAAATGGCACCTTCGCCCTCCGCCTCTTAAAGGCCCTGTGTGAAGACGACCCTTCAGACAACGTGTTTTTTTCTCCCGTGAGCCTCTCCTCGGTCCTGGCCATGGTCCTCCTGGGAGCCAAAGGGGACACCGCTGCCCAGGTGGCCCAGGTGAGCCGGGAGAGGGGCCTCTTTCCCGTGTCCTGTCCGCTCACCCTGCTGTAGACCCCCTTCTCCAGGCCTGCCCGTGGGAGGGTGGGGTGGACGCGGGTGCAGACGCCTGCTGCCTCGGGAGCGACTGGGGCTGCCCAGACGCAGAGGGCGGAGCTGAGGTCTCCTTCACCGAGGTGTTTCTTGTGTGATCCTTCTCCAGTTCATATCCTGGACGTGACCATTAAACTTCTGTCTTAATAGTTTTATGTTTGCTTAGGAAATGGTAATGATTGCTTGAGATCTCAGCAGCCGAGCGCTATCTCAGTTTGAGAGCACTGATGTTTGTACTAAAACTTACAGCTGTTCGTTGGTGAGAAGGGTAGGTTAATAGGTATTTCAAGTCAATGATACACCACCGTGCTTTCCAGCTGAGTCAGGGGATAAGCGGAAATGTGCAAAGAGGGTGCAAAGGCGTGGGCTTTTTACCTGCAGCGATGCTTAGGTGCGAGTTAGCCTAGATGAGCAGTGACTCAGGAACATCCACTCGAGTCTGTCCGGTCCCCAGGGACGTTTCTAGAGCAGACAGAGGAACGTGTGCAGGAGTCACCCAGAAGGTGGTGAGGTCCTGCCGTGCACACGGGGCCTCCTCACTGCCGGGCGCCTTTGTGTTTCACTCTGCCTCTCCATTCCTCTGAGAACCCTTGACGGTAGCGATTACTCATCATAATAATTTCCCAGCTCATGTGTGAGGGGGTGAAGGTTGAGGTGTCGAGAGTGGTTCTTTATTCCTGATGAACGTTACTGTGTATTAGGCCGGCCCACGAGCCCTAGAGGAGCCTCGTGGGGGAGCCTCAGGTTGTCTGCTGTGACGTGGAGTGGTCCTGGCCTTCCTGTGCTGAGGTCACAAGCCCTCAGGGTGCGAACTCCGCCTGGCTGCCTGGCACATCTCGGGAAGGGCTCCTGGCCTTCGGGCTGCGGGCTCTGGTCACCAGCAAACTCTGGAAGCACGGTCTCTCCCACTGTCGTTGTTCCTACTCATTTCTCTTCGGATTTTAACACCTTTATATGAGTCTTTCTATTTACTTATTTATTTTTTTTGGTAAACTTTAGAGTTAAATTTTCCTCCATTTAGGCACACTTACGGTTTCCTTAGAATGCAAGATTTTAAAGCAGCTCCTTCTCTGAATTGTCCCAGTCCTTTCATTCCTACCTTGTTACTCATCTTTAAACAAGGGAGATCAACTGAGACAGAAAAGGCAACTCTTTTACCCATTTCTGTTCTCCTTTCTCCTGTATCTTCCCCCTCCCCCGTGTCATCTTGCTTCTATGCTGCTGGTAAGTCACTTCAGTCATGTGTGACTCTGTGGGACCCCATCCCTGGGATTCTCCAGGCAAGAAACTGGAGTGGGTTGCCATTTCCTTCCCCAATGCATAAAAGTGCAAAGTGAAAGTGAAGTCGCTCAGTCATGTCTGACTCTTCGAGACCCCATGGACTGCAGCCCACCAGGCTCCTCCGTCCATGGGATTTTCCAGGCAAGAGCACTGGAGTGGGGTGCCATTGCCTTTTCCATCTTGCTTCTCTAGTATGTACTAAATCCACACTTAAAAGTAGTGTCTTTTAGGAATATTTTGTGAAGTATTTGAGAAAAAATGTTGGTCACAAAACTTTTAGAAACTGAAGGGCAATATTGTTTATTTTAAATTACTTATCTCGATAGGCGCTTTCCTTAAACACAGAGAAAGACTTTCACCAGGATTTCCAGCAGCTTCTTGCTGAGCTGAACAAGCCTGACGCTCAGTACTTGCTCACGACGGCCAACAGGATCTTTGGGGAGAAGACCTATGAATTTCTCTCTGTAAGTTCAATCAACAGAACAGTACAAGTTGTGATCAAAATGTGGAGTGTGAGAGAAAGACCCCAGAGAACTGACACTTATGAACATGATTTCTAAAACTTGTAATTCCCTAACTGTCCTTTGAGTTAGTTGAAATTTGACTATTTCTAAAGTGCATTTATCCATTATAACGATTCATAGCTGAGTTCTTACCTGTTTATAAACGCTGATCTTTTCATATCTAGCGGACTAGATGACCACCTTCAGGGGATTAATGGTTACTTTAATGTAATATATACATTGTTCAGCATTTTGGAAACCCGCTGACCACTCTCCTCTCCAAAGACCTTTAAGGAATCGTGTCTTCGCTTCTACTGCGCTGAGCTGGAGCAGCTCTCCTTCGCCGAGGCTGCAGAGCCGTCCAGGAAGCAGATCAACGCTTGGGTCTCGAAGAAGACTGAAGGTCAGCGCTCCCTGGTGCCTCCCCACTGCCACACCTCCTGCTCCCCGCTCCCTGCTCCTCTGTCGTCCCTGGTCTTTCTGATGGTCAGCGCCGTGCTGTCTGGGCCTCGTGGACTATCTGAACCTTAATGGACTCGCAGAGGTTTTGATCGGATGCTCGGGTGTTCAACAGCAGAGACTTCATTGTGTCCATTCTCCCCGGAGCAGAGTGGCCGGCAGGAGCTGAAGCCCACAGGCCAGGCTCCCAGGTTAACAGCTGACAGAGAAGCATCGTCTCCCTCGGGCGTGTGTTCACGCGTCAGTGAATGCCGCACCTCTGTAGGAAGGAGCCCGGGGCCTCCTCTGAGCACAGTCTCTGTGGCCCTCCATCACAGCGGACTGACCCCCCTCCTGCCCCTTTCCTGTCTCCCACCTCCACTCCTGTCCTCAGATGTGAGGAACCTAGACCTGGCAGGCCCACTGCAGACCCGCTCTCAGGCTGATGGTTCTGCAGACTGAAATCACTGCACGGGGGTGGGTGGAGCCTCATTCGCTCCTGTTCCCCAGGGTGTCCTGCTGTGGCCTCAGCCCCATGATGGCCGTGTGATGTTGGACCCATGTAGGCCCCTCTGTACCAATTACATATGGTACCACTAAGAGCAATGCTGTTTCTGCTAATACATGAGACAGCAGAGAGCAGGAGGTTGTCTTTCCTTTGAGACTTAGCCTTCCTTGCCCAGTTTCTTCTTTGCCCTCTGGAGGTGTGAATTAGCAGGGGTGCTCTTAGTTCACTGAACAGGCTTGACTTGATCTCCAGGGGACACGGGAGTACCTTTCACGTGCTACCTGACCTTCTCTGAGAATGTCTGGAGGATCAAATAGTGAAACCTTTGCTAGCAGCTTCCAGAAGTTTGTCCTTTCGCTGATGGTGTGCCCTCTGAGCCATTCATGGTGGCCTCCTGTGACAAGTCCCCACACAGTCCTGGAAGGTCGGCTCTGGATGTGGCTTCTCCAGCCATAGCCTCTCCAGCCCACCCTTTGTTTCCTGTCTTTCTCCTCCCACCTGGAGCAGACTTCTCCCTGAGTGATGAAGTGGTTCATGTCACCCACTTTGCAGAGGTCCTGAAGCACCGTGATCATAAACGCCACCTGTGTGTGTGGGTTCCGTGCAGAACAACCCAAACTGGGCAAATCTGAACGAGGACTGCTAATCTGGATTTTCCAATGAGCCTGATCAAGGGTTTTGTTTTTTTTTTAAATCGTGCTTTGTATTCTCTACTTCTCCCTAAGGTAAGATTCGAGAGTTGTTGCCTGCTAACTCCATCAATGCAGAGACCAGGCTGATTCTGGTTAACGCGGTCTACTTCAAAGGGAGATGGAGTGAGAAATTCAACAAGGAGTACACCAGGGAGATGCCTTTTAGAATAAACCAGGTGGGGGAAACTTTCGAACATCCTGAGAATTTGGTGAAAAAATTGAATGGAAAAATTTAACTTTGTAAGAGCATAAATCATTGGTTAATAATAATTTGAAACTTCACACATTTCTGAATGAAATTCTAAACTCAGTGGTGAAGAACTGAAGGTATGAAAAACACTTGTTGCCTTCGGTCTTTTGCACTTTTTATTGTTCCTAGAGCCTTGATAATTTCTCACAAAGTCACTCCTGTATGAGTGTATTCATCCTACATTCAGCCTGAAAGCTTAAGGTTTTCTTTTAAGTCCAAATTGCTCAGACAGAAAGTAAAAAAAAAAAAAAGAGAGAGAGAGAGAGATAAGAAATCCAAATTTAAACCCCCCACAGGTGTTAGGAAAGTGTGATCTGGGTATTACTATGATGGGGGTGGGGCGTGGGGTGTGGTCTGCAGAGCAAAAGAATAAGAAAATTTATTTCTTTAATCAGTTATTTTAAAAATGAGAATAAATACAGACTTGATTTGCTATTAATTAATCATCATTAATTCAGTAATCATAGCTTTCTAATAATAAAACTGACTTAGTCTTGACATTGAGGTATAATTTCAATTCAGATAGGCATTGAAATAGTTTGTTAACCACTCCCCCACCGCCAGCCCTTATAAAAACAACATTTTAATGCAATTCAGAAATTTATAGGCATAAAACCCTTTTCTTCGAATACAGTATATACTGTAAATAATCAGCCTTCTAGTTGCAGAGCGGGAGGGGAGCACAACTAGTCACCCACAACTGGCATGGATTTTAGAAGTTTGTTTTAATCTTTTTAATAGATGACTTGTGTCAACTTATAAAACTGAATTTAGTAAGGGTAGTATTTCAGTTAACTTATGTGTGCGTATAGCACTTCTGTATTTTAAAAAGTTATTTCCTCCAATTAAAGTTTCAGAATTGGTACAGTTGGATTTAAATGCATGAAGACCCAGACGGTTCTTTATTTTTTTAAGCGTGCAGCACAGCATGTGGGATCTTAGCTTCCTGAGCAGGAATTAAACCTGCCACCCCTGCAGTTTAACCTCTGGGCCCCCAGTGAGGCGCCCGTGCGGCCCCTTACACCTGCTGTCACACTCGTTCTGAGCCTGTCTACATTCTGGACTGCACTGCTGTGAAACTCTAAGGTTTCCTGAAACTTTTTTCTAATTAAATAGCAGTAATTTTCATTGGATCCTGTTGTTTCATCAGATATACTTACTGGGCATCTTTTAGCTCTGAAAATCTGACTTCCTTTTCTGAGAACAGCAGAGTACCTCGTTTATTTTGCTGAATGAACCATCTTTCCCAGGCCAGCACCAGTATGCTGACAACAGGTGCCTTGCTATGGGAACAGGGAGAAGCTGGTGGACAGTTTGTAGCGCTAACCAGGGCACAGATAGCGTTTCCATCAGGGGTTCTGCACACCCCGCCGTCCACCGCTTCTCCTGGAGACGGTGCTGCCTCCTCCGATGATCTGTGTCTGATTCCCGGTCATCTGTTTACTCCTGCAGAAGGAGCAGAGGCCGGTGCAGATGATGTTTCAGGACGGTGAGTTCAGACTCGCCCGCATCCAGGAGGTGCAGGCCCAGGTGCTAGAGCTGCCGTACGCGGGCGAGGAGCTCAGCATGCTGGTGCTGCTGCCCAACGACCACGTGCCTCTGAGCTCAGTGAGTGTCCTGCGAGTCCCTCCCGCCCGGCTGGCCCTCGAGCCCCTCCTCCTGCTCTGGGGCGCGCTAGCTCGGGTACCAGAGCACGAGATGGCACACCTGTCTGCCAGGTGACTCGGGGGAGGTGGGGGGGGCGGGGGCCCGGCGGTGGCACCATCCCTCCGGGAGAGGAGACTCAGGGCTGCCTGACATTGCTGAATCCCAAAGTCGAATTCCGGCCTTTCAGGTAGAGAAACATCTCACTTGGGAGAAGTTCCTCGCCTGGACCCAGCCTGACTCCATGAAGAAGACCCAGGTGGAAGTCTTCCTCCCAAAGTTTAAGCTGGAGAAGACCTACGACATGGTGTCGGTGCTCCAGGGCCTAGGGGTGGTTGAGGCCTTCCTGTCAGGCCGGGCTGACTTCTCGGCCATGTCTCCCAGCGAAGGCCTGTGTCTGTCCGCCTTAGCCCACAAGAGCGTGGTGGAGGTGGACGAGGAGGGCACGGAGGCCGCGGCCGCCTCCGCAGAAGTGGAGGTCGACTGCTGCTTGGTGAACCAGCCCCGGTTCTGTGCCGACCACCCCTTCCTGTTCTTCATCAGACACAACGGCTCCGGCAGCACTCTCTTCTGCGGCAGGTTCTCCTCCCCGTAGGAGCGTGCGCGCCGCGCCTGCCCGCCCTGCCCTCGCTGGGTCCCCCGGGGCCTGGGCAGCTCCGGGCCTCAATGACCCGCCAGCACACCCTTGCTTCTCCCCCAGGCTGACCCCTGGACGGGGATTGAGGGCCAGTAGACCTCAGTGATTGTATTTGAGACGCAGCCTGAATCCCGTAGGATGGGATCCCGCTCCATGGGCCGCAGACTCCCTTCCCCCTCGCTCCTGCGTGCGTTTCTTTCCGGTGGCACTGGGTTCTCTTCCGGGTCACCTGCTTGCCTTAGCCCGTTTCAGTGTTCAGCCAGGCCGTTAGCTGTCACTGCCGTTTGATAGATCTCGTGGTGCTTGCGCTTTTTAGGGACGTTCCTTAGTGCGTGTTTATATTTTTGGCTGTGTAGCACGTGGGATGCCAGTTTCCCGACCAGGAGGGAACCCATGGCCCCTGCGGTGGAAGCTTGGCTTCCTTTCCGTTGACCTGCCTGGGAATGCCCTCTTTAATGCACATCTTATCTTTCTTTGACATTCACTGCTCACCGTGGATGTTGCCAACCCTGCATCAGGCCCTGGGGAAGGAAGTGGGAGGGTGTGCACCTCTGAGTCCTGCCCCCGTGGCAGAGGTAGGCAGCTTTGAGGACTACCAGGCTGGACTAGGTCCTGCCTCTAGGTGATCATGTGACCTCTGGAAGGATCGCATGTTTCCACATGTTACTGTATTTCTCCACCTCCAACTCTAACAGGAAAAATCACATTCAACCCTTAAAGCTCATTTCCAATGTCATCTTCTCTGAGAGTTGTTTCCTTTCCTGCATAACCAGAGGTACGTCTTTGTACCCTCACTGCCCCCTGGGAGATGGCACATCTCTGACGGTAGTTGTTTGTATATTGCCTGTCTGTGTTTTCTGGCTTTAAGGCCCTTGGGGATGGGACTGTGTTTTACGCATCAGGGTGACACTTAGGTTGCATGGATAAGCAATTTGATGATGTGCTCTGTGACTTAAAAAAAAAAAAGGTTAGAAATCAGTTTTTCTAATTGATAAATAATAAAAATGATTTAAAAAACAATTTATTGGTTTTTTAAAATAATTTTTTTATTGAGGTGAAATTTATAAAACCTAAAATTACCTTTTTAAAGTGAATGACACACTGGTGTATAGTCTGTTGACACTGTGGTTCAACCGCCACACCGATCTAGCTCCAATATTTCTCATCACCCTGCATCCACTAAGCAGTTACTCCCCATTCCCTGCTTCTCCCAACCAATGGCAACCACCAGCCTGCTTTCTATCTCCATGGATTTACCCGTGCTGGCAATTTCACGTAAGCTGAATCATGCATGACCCTTTTTGTGCCTGGACTCTTTCATCTCACATAATGTGTATTAAAAATCAGGGGCATCACTTTGCCAACAAAGGTCCGTATAGTCAAATCTATGGTTTTTCCAGTGGTCATGTGCAGATGTGAGAGTTGGACCATAAAGACTGGGTGCCAATTGATTTCATGTTTAACTCTTTGAGGAACTACCAGACTGCTTTGCACAGTGGCTGCTCTCCACTCCTGTATGAGGGCTCCAGATTCTTCACAGTCTTAGCAAATGTCTGTTATTTCCTTTCTTTTAAACATATCATGGCCATCTCAGTGGGTGAGAAGTGATACCTCACTGTGGTTTTCATCTGCATTTCCCTAACGTCTAATAATGTTGAGTGCCTTTTTTTTTCCAACTTTCACATTTTTATAATTACAAAAACTAATAATACAATGATCATTTCCACACACAAAGATATGTGCTCTTCCTGTTGTGTAAACAAGATGCCTCAGTCTCCAACCCCAGGGCCGGCTGATGGAGTTAACTGAAGGCTGTTCAGTCATGGAAGCAATTTGCCCAAAGCCAAACACATCCTCCCGGCCAGACCATGCCAGGGCTGTGTCTCTTAACAGACAGTTCCCACCCCGTTGGGAAGAAGCTCACCAAACTGTTCTTTAAACAGCACAGCTGGGTGGAATCCTCATCCATTTAAATAAAACATTTTAAAACATCCTTTCACTATAATGTACAGATACAGAGCCCAAATAAATGATTTAAGGAAAATGTAATTCCTTCATGATTAAATAAGACGTCATCTAGTTCAGTTCAGTTCAGTCACTCAGTCGTGTCTGACACTTTTTGACCTCATGGACTGCATCACACCAGACTTCCCTGTCCATCACCAACTCCTGGAGTTTACTCAAACTCAAGTCCATCGACTTGGTGATACCATCCCACCATTTCATCCTCTCGTCCCCTTCTCCTCCTGCTGTTGAGTGCCTTTTAACGTTTGTATATGTCTTCTTTGGAGAAAAGTGTGTTCAAGTCCTTTCTTTGTTTTTTCATTGGGCTGTTGGTCTTTTTGTTGTCAAGTTGTGAAAGTTCTTTGTGTATTCTGGATGTTAGGCCTTTATCAGATTTGTGATTTGCAAGTATTCTCTCCCATTCTGTAGGGTATATTTTCCCTTTCTTGATCTATCCACAGAAGTTTTTATTCAATGAAGTTCAATTTATCTATTGTTTTCCTTTTGTTGCTTATATTTTTGGTGTCACAGCTAAGAATCCAAAGTCATGAAGATTTACAGCTGTTTTTTTTTTCCTAAGCCTTTTATGGTTTTAAGTTTTATATTTAGATTGTTAACCTATTTGATATCTGTGATATGAGGTAGGGGTTCAACTTAATATCTTTGCATATTTCTTTGTGATGTTTTATTGGTGAATAGTATTTTCCCTGTAATAAAACCTAGGTTTTCCCCTAGTGATTTCTACCCTGCTTTCTGCTTTCAGTCTTGGAATTACCTTCCCACTGAGAAACCAATTAGCCACCTAGTTTTTCTTCAATATTTCTACTTTTTAAACCAATTAACTGTTTAACCTGTCACTATTTTGTGTGTGTGTGTTGTTGACATTGAGGAGAAAATATAACTTGGTTTATTTACGAATAGCCAAGTTCTCAATATTATTTGTGAAACAATCTGCTTTCCCCCAGCCATCTGTTTTTTTCATCTTTATTCTTCCGTGTTGTCGACTGAAAAGACAGCAGCCTAAAGAATTGAGTTACGTTTCATTTGGTGGAACTGTTTAGGCCGTGGGCCCTGGAAGCTGCATCTCCAGTGGCCCCGAGAGCATCGCGCTGAAGTCAGAGCCGAGCTGCGAGAAGCTTTGCCAGAAAGGGCCACAGTCTTCAATGTCGAAAGCTTTTTGTAAATTAAAGAAAACCAGATAACCCAAGTTAAGGGACTTGCATTTAGTGCTTTCCATGTATGGGGAGATGCAAGAGTCTGGCTCGACGACGTCGCTCCTGTGCCGTGCGCCTCAGCTCTCTGGGACCAGGATCCTGTGTTTCCACATCCTGAGTCGCTCAGGGCTCACCATGGGCAGCGGCTGTGGTCCGCTGGCTGCTAGATGGCAGCTATTCTTTCCTTCCCAAGTTCCCGTGGGGCTCACCAGGCGACGTTGGAGGCCCGCAATCACTGATGACTGCGACATCATTGTTTACTGATACGGCAGGAAGCATTCTGTATCTCGGTTGAAACACCAACATAACAGTCACTGAAGACTCAAAACATATAAATATTCACCTATATTTTTCTTTAGCTTTTTGGTCATTTTATTCTTTGTTGTTAACCCACTTTGGAATTTATTTCAAAGTAACATGAGAAACCAATTTTTTTAAAACTATTTATTCTTAATTGAAGGATAATTGCTTTACAAAATTGTTTATGAAGAAACCAAATTTTTAAGGTAATAAATTTTTTGTGTTTATTAAAAATAGTGGACTCCCAGAGTCCACCCAAACCCATGTCAATCGAGTTGGTGATGCCATCCAACCATCTCATCCTCTGTCGTCCCCTTCTCCTCCTGCCCCCAATCCCTCCCAGCATCAGGGTCTTTTCTAATGAGTCAACTCTTCGCATGAGGTGGCCAAAGTATTGGAGTTTCAGCTTCAGCATCAGTCCTTCCAATGAACACCCAGGACTGAACTCCTTTAGGATGGACTAGTTGGATCTCCTTGCAGTCCAAGGGACTCTCAAGAGTCTTCTCCAACACTACAGTTCAAAAGCATCAATTCTTGTTCGCTCAGCTTTCTTCACAGTCCAACTCACATCCATACATGACCACTGGAAAAAGCAAAGGATAATAGGTGCTAAATGCAGCTCTTGCAGGGTTGCGGGGGAGTGGCAGAAAAGCAAACTTAGTTACAGACATGCAGTTAGGAGCAGTTAAAGCAAAAAAAAAGAAACAACAACAACCTAGGAATGTTCAGGCCTGCTCACTCTTCTCTTTATCTTCTTTGTTCTCAGGAAACGGAGAGAAGAAACTCATTCCTCTTCTTCCTTTTCTCTGAGACAGGAGGTAGGTGTGCAGTCACTTGAGAAATTCTTTCTCATACCAACAGTTCTCCAATACTAATGGGGTGTCCAGAATTCCGCTCAGCGTGTAGTCCCTGCCCGCAGTTAGGGCATTCGTACAAGTCAAGGGCTCAGAAGGGGGGATTCCAGTGCCAGTGGGGAGGCGAGGACACTGCACTCTTAGCAGCTTACCGCAGCTCCGGCCTTCCCACAGCCCACCCTTTCCTGCTTTGATAATTGGCAAGAATGACTCACGGATCTCAGGAAGGCACTTCCCATACCACCAGGAGGTTTGCCATGAGGAACAGAGCTGCCGAGGCCAGGTGTGGGGAGGGCCGCATGGCTTCCAGGCCATCCCTGGGCACCACCCTCCGTGCATTCACCACCTGGGAGTCCCCCTGGGACCCCTCATTTAGGGGT